GTGTCCAGCCCTCTCGGGCCCATTCAGATGGCTGGGGCAGGCACCCATGCACTGGCAGCCTGTTAGCAGTCCAGTGGGGCGCTTTGGCACCGAGACACGGTGCTCCCTACTAAGGGAGGGGGGCCACCGCCTCATTCCTGAGGCAGCCTTGGTTGGAAGTAGAACCCCCAGCAACCACCTCACGGGAAAACAAGCACAGGCTGAGACGTTCTGGAAACGGGCAGGGCTGGGTATGGGGAGCCATCGCCTGTGACCCCTGACTTTGGGATCACTGCCAGATGCTTGGCTCAGCTGGTCTTTCAGGTCTCTCATGTTCAAGGGTCCCTTCTGGCTCAGGCCTTCCTGGGCAAAGGACAAAAGACATTGCAGTGAGCTGGGAAAACTTGGGCATCTGGTGGGAAGGCAAGCCTGGCTCTGCCCAATTTTGTGTGCTGGGCCCTGAAGCTGCAGACACAAGCTCTGGGCTCCCCAGGACATGAGGAAGTGGGGTACAGCAGAGGTTGGAGCAGAGACCCTGTGGCATGCATCTGGGGTTAAAGGAGGATGACATGGGGCCTGAGCTCTGCACTCCAGGAACCTGTGGCCCCACGGCCGGGCAGAGGATGCCGCTCTCTCACACCCCTCCCCTCCTCTTGGCCTCCAGGACCAGGACCAGCTGGGTGTGCTGCATTCCATACTCCACCAGAAAGAAGGTGAAGGAGAGTGTGTAGCAGTCCTGGAGAAGGTAATTCGCACACGGAGACCGGCCAGATGGGCAGGGGGAGCCTGGGGTGACAGGAAGTAAAATAGAGGGGGCTAGGCTGCCTGTCTGGCCTCCTCCCAGCTTCCTCGGTCCCCCTCAAGAACTGCCCCTCTGGCCTGTAACTGAGGGTCTCCGCTTCTGTCTCCTGGGGTTGGCCAGACCAGGCAGGGATGAGAGATGCAGACAAGCAGCCCTGAAAACCATGCCACACGAAACTTTTTCAGGGACACCGGTGACCTGGATGTGAATCACTGACCCACTGGGTGAGTGATGATACCATCTTTCAAAAAGACAATAAAGAGTGAACAGAAGATGCTGTCTCTCTCAGCCCTTCTCATTGGATCCTGGTTTCTTCCTTTTGTGTGTCTTGTTCCATGAAATGCAAATTGGAGAAGGGAGGTGAGCTCAGGGACAGGCGGCATGATGACTGAGCCTCCCAGATCCCGGGTACATGACCCTTCAAAACCTGGGAACACCCGGAAGCAAAGTCAAATCCCCCGAGGCCTGGAGTGGGCTCTACTACTGGAGATGGCTCACAGGGTCAGCCCCAGACCACCCGGGGGTCCTGTCCCAATGAGAGATGAACCTGGGAGACCGAAGGTGGGCTGCACGTTGTTCCCTGAGGACCTGGAGGCTGGGCTTTGCTGGGAGTGGAGCTTCCTTGAAGCTGAGTGCAGGAGGTTCTGGTACTACATGTCATAGAGACCCCGATTGGGAGCCAGGAGGTGCCACACAGATTAAATCGAGGTGCAGGGAGACGCTGCTTGCAGGGGGAGGAACGGACAGGAGCAGAGGGCCACATGAAGGGAAACTTCACCAGGGGCTTTGGAGTTCCTTTCTTCAACTGGCTCGGTCTCTGCGAACTGTCATAAGCCAAATGGGTGAATATGTGCAATTCCATATAGTTCAGCCTAAGACTGAGAACGTGTGGGCCCAGCCTCCTCCTGTAAGACACGTCCCACCAGGCCCCACCCAGCACACACGCACACTTACTCTCTCACATCCGATCATGTGCACACATGCACACACACACATTCATACATGTGCGAACACACACACATGTTCATGCACACAGCAGACGTGCACAACATGAGTGAGAGGAAGGGCTTGGGTGGGTGACAAGCAGCATCTCTGAGACTGAGGAATGTCTGGGCCCAGAGGTCAAAGACACAGGTGAAGCCCTCAAATACCTACCGTGTGGATGAGACGTGTCTGTCCCCTCAGTCCTCCCTCACTGCAGCCTCTGTCCAGATGAAAACAGAGGGTCAGTGACAGCCGGAAACAGCATGCTGAGATCAGACTCCAGAAATCAGCAGGGGTGTTGGGCTGTGGACATGCTGACAAATGAGCAGGTCACAGAAAAGGCCACTCTGCTGCGTGCTCATCACACCCTAGAGACTGGGGGCCACTGCTCATCTTCTTGACAAGATGTCAAGCAAGTGCCTTTCGTCCCACCCCCCCAAACATGAGGCCCTGGTGCCTGCGCCTGACCAACTAGAAAGGCACCCAGAAAGCTCCTAGAGAAACAGCTGGCTTGTCCCATGGCTGGAGCGGGAGGAGGAGGCCACTGACCCCCAGCTCCCTGTGCCCTTGCTGCAGAGCAACACTGGCCTAAGTCCTTCTTCTAGTTCCTCTGCACCCAGCACTCGGCCATGGGCCAGGAGGGTGACTGGCCCCAGGTCGCCCTTTTCCGCCCATTTGTCCATCATCCATCTCTTGCCGCTGTGTGTGGCTGGCCTCATTCCAAGACACATGCTGCCCGTGCTGCTCCATATCATTCTGAGGGTGTCTGCAGGGGGAGCTAGTCGAGGGCGGCCCTGGGTGGGAAGGACAGCCCGCAGGAACCCAGAGGGGCCTGGTTTGTAAGCGCAGTGGTTATGGCTCATGCGTCCTGCTCACATGCTGAGCTCCTGAGCAGTGGGCAAGGGACACCCTGGAAGCCAGAGACCCTCGAGGGTGGGGATGTGCAAGATAAGCCCTGAGCCTCCACTTAGGGGCTCCCAGGCTGGCCAAGGCCCCTTCTGCCCTCTCAGAAGCTCCCACGGAGCAGTTGCTAACTGAGGAGTGTGACCACAGCCCTGCTTAGCTCACCCCTCCTTCCCTTCAGAGAAATGCACCAGTCCCAAGGGTGACGAGGGGCAGAGGTGGGCCTTGGAGCTGAGAAAGAGCAGATGACCTGTGGCATCTGTACACCGACAGAGCAGTGAGAACTGTTTACTCACCGCCTGAGACACAGTGCACCATAGTTAATTGTTTGCTTCAAAGCAGGAGGGAAACCAGAGCCTCCAGCCTGAAAGCCCCTGGTGGCCGTCAGAGCTGCTTCTGCCCCATCTCCGTGCAGAGGCTAGGCCAAGACGGAGTGGACCAGGCAGCAGTCGAGGGCATAACGGGACATTTTTTGCATAGGCCAGGGCAGTTGGCAATAAAATGCCCATTTCCTGGGCTACAAAATAGGGGTGATATTAGAACCCGTCTTGTAGGCTGTTGTAGAATTAATGATTTAAAACACGTGAAACTGCTCAGGACAGTTTACCATGCCTGGCACAGAGCAAACACCTGCTCTCTAAGTGTCTGCCATGTTGGCACAGTTGTCACGGCTGCTTGTATCTTGTCTTTTCTCCATATAGATCTAGAGAGAGAGAAAACATTTCAGAGAAATATATGAAAATTCTAACAGTGATAATAACAAAAAGATAAACACTTTTTGTTATTTCCCACATTGCTTACACTGAAAATGCATATTGGATTTGGGGGAGAATTATATGGGAAAGAATAAGCTGGAGGCATTGCCATGGGGTGTTTGGGAGCCCCAGGAAAGGACACGCACTGTAACTGGTGTTGCTCCATCAGAGGCGTGGGCACTGGAAGTGGCCGAAGGCGGCCTGGGGCCTGCCCGGTCCCTGCCCAGGGGGGGCTCTATCAGCCTCTCTCAACCCCCAGCAGGGACTGAGGAGGAAACTGGGTCAGGCCTGGGGCCTGGGGCAAAGGAAGCCACTACCTGGGACCACTGGCTAAGCTTGTTTATGACAGAAAGTGCCACTGCGCGAGCCTGCATCAGTGCCCCACCCCCACAGGCTGGGTTGATGGGGGAACCCAAAGGAGGGGGAATCCAGGAGAAAGACAATTCACAGGCAGCCGTGACAACTGTGCCAACAAGGGCAGACACCTAGAGAGCAGGTGTTTGCTCTGTGCCAGGCATGGCAAACTGTCCTTAGCAGTTTCGCGTGTTTTAAAGCATTAATTCTACAACAGCCTACACGACGGGTTCTAATATCACCCCTATTTTGTAGCCCAGGAAACGGGCAGGGAGGTGCACAGGAGGTAGGCCTGGTTTCTGAGTGTGGAGAAGAGAGGGCGTGAGGAACTCCAGGAGGGCACCCCCACTGGCCGCTGCCCTCAGAGGCTGCCGTTCCCGCCCAGCGCCAACCTACACATGCTGTGGCTCCCACTGCTGCTTATTTCTAGCTTTTTCCCTGCTGCCTCCAAGGTAAAGCGACATACAAGAGATGCGGTCCTGCAGCGAGCCCGCCCCTTTGTAGAAGCTCTGTCTGGAACGGGCAGCAGCGCTTGCCCAGCTGCGCCCCCTGGTGGTAGGTCTGCAGCACTCTCACAATTTCTGTTTCTCAGTCGCGAAGTCACCAGGGTCTGAGATCTTGAGCCAAGAGGAGGCAGCAGAGGGATGCTTCATCACTCTTAGAGAATTTTAACTCTCATTTAATTAATTTGCTAAAGGAGAGGCTAGAATGTAAATTCGTTGTTGGCCATCTGTTGGTGGGCAGGGCCAGGGTGGGGAGAACTTGACCCAGGCCCTGTGTACTGGACATCCCAGCTCCACCAATTCAGGGCTCAGAACTTATAAGTGCCGCCCACCCAAAGGTTAAGTACCCAGGCCACTGGCTCTCCCTGCCCCATGATCTCATGACCCATGACCCCACGAGCTCTGTAGGACAGACAGACGGATAGATCTCCCTGGCACCTCTTACCTAGAGAGCCCTGGGTGCTTCCAGAGGCTTGATGATGCTCGGCTTGTGTGGAAACCCACTCCTCAAGTAGATCCTTTCCACCATGACCTGAGCTATTTCACTCCACAAAACAAAAAACAAAAGCAAAACTCCCTCAAATTGCTGACATCCCAAGGCCCCTATGTGCCCTGGTGTCACCAATGCCCCTGCCCCCAGTGACATCGGGGCACTGAAGGTCTGCCTTGGAGGAGAATGGCAGCCAAGCAAGGCCTGGCCAGTGCACGAAGGTCTAGGGACTGCTGAGGCCTTGGGGGGTGGGGGGGCTCAACAGGGCTGACAGGCCTCCAATGGCACTTGCACTGAGGCCCTGGGACCCCCCCCCAAGCCTGGGGGTAGAGAAGACACTCCTGCGTCTTGCTTTCGCTCCTGCTGCGAAACCCAGTGTCCCTTCCCAGATGCAGCTTCCCTGAGAATTCCACCCATGTGCCTTGGAAGGAGGGGCAAGGCAGGAGGGGTATCCTGGGGACAGGAGCAGAGGGAGACCCTGTGTAGGGGGATGGGAGATGCAGGAGCAGAGGGAGAGCCCTGTGCTGGGTCAGGGAGGTCTTCCAGGTGCTGACTTTTCCAGCATTTAAAAGTCAACAAGATAAGTTATGTGGGTGGAGCTATAGGAAACCTAATTAGGACTGACTGCCAGTAGACTCCCCCAGGGTTTCCCCTCTATCTGCATTGACTTGCGACAGGTTCTCAAGGAAGTGTGATGTACATAAAGCAGGACGTTTGCCGCCTGTCATCAACTTGTGGGTCACGCTGGGCTCAGCCAGGGCCCAGGACCCAGCCAGGGTGAGCTGGTCTAAGGGAAAAGTTATTTCTGGTCCTTTCAAACATGACTGTACAGACCAGGGTCCTCCGCAGGGAGCAGGGCGTTTGGCACCCTCTAGAAAAACAGGATTTAGATGGATTTCATTCCGACAAAGCCTTGAGACATATGAGTAGGCAGGGGGTGGATGAGCCCATTCTACAGATGAGAAAACTCAGGTGCATAGAGGCAGGGAGAGAGGGTACTGAGGGTGCCTGGTCACAGTCCTTATTCTGCCTCCAGGGGGCCAGGAGCCCTGGCCCATGTCACAAGACCTCCCACCAAGCTGGACCAGACACCTCCAGTGGTCTCCAGCCCTCCATTTCGGTCAGTAGAGACCCAACCTAGGCAGACTCCTTCATGCCTCTGTCCCCACATGCAGCCCCTCAAAAATACCTGATCCCACCTTTCTCCATCCTCACTGCTCCC